ACTCGGGCGTTGAGGAGATGGGAGAAACGGAGCGTTACGGTGCCGGAAGTAGGAAATAAATTGCAATCGCAGTTGTAAACAAACAATATTTCATTTATTTATACAAAAGAAAAACAAGCATAAGCTTTTTTTCCACTATTAAAAGTGATTGTTGACCATAGGTTGATTTCTATGCGGTTGATAATTACTCTATATTTTCGAATTTCGCATTCATTTCTATATATATCAGCTCTTTCAATAGTACACTACTCAACTCGTCTCAGTTCAGTTGGTACAGTGACAGTCAACATGAGAGATCTTCGCAGGAAGATATTGCTAGCTATGTATAAATGTAAATGTATAAATGAAACAAACCTGTTTTGGAGGTTCCAGAGTTTTCATCAAGGTTTCCATGTATGATGGCAGCACTTTGTGGTGTAGATGCAGCAACATCCGGAGGGTGTGTCTGTGGACATTCTCTTTACTGCAAAATATTCAGACACAAACAAAATCTGTCAAGAGACATGGCAGACAAGTTTGAGTCCAGTGCAATAAAAATAATTTGGAAGCGTCCTGGGGAGTGGTGATGCCATTTAACACCATCATGCAAAAAACCTGCTCGGCCTGCTCAATGATATGTAGATTTGTGTGTATATCTTTTAGCAAGCAGATTCTCGTGTCTGTCTCAGTCCACTTTAAGTCCACGGTCCACTGTTTATACTTTTAATGCACTGAAACTATGTGGAACTTCATAAACTAGAAGACGCTGACTATAGGCATGCAGTGATGTCATAGGCTCTGCTAGAATCAACCCACCTGGAAGAAGAAGTAAGAAGGAAGCCATCAAAGACAACAGAACAAAATTCTTCTGATCCAAACTCATCAGAGAGGAGGGTGAGGTGTCCAGTCAGCAGGTGCAGGAAGATGTCGCTAAAGGCCATGTCATTGTAGGTCTCCACTGTGGGGGAACAGCAGAGATCCAACTCTTATTTTGACAAGTCATACAGTTCCTACTATAAAAAGACAGCTTTGACTGTATTCTCTTTACTACTGACCCCGCTAGTGTAATTTACTGCCCACACATTGATTTAAACTGTTGACCCATCCAGTGTCAGTGCCTTTCTCTGACAATTACTCACTGAATTAAGCCACTTATCACCTTTTTGTGATTATGATATTCTTGACCATATGACAAATTAGTAAAAAAAATATATTTGATTATTAATTTTAGAAAATAATATTGCAACAAAATAAGTGATATAGTTTTACATATCAGCCTAACAGCTTGCCTTCAAATATTCAGTAAAAACTAAACAAAAATTATCTCTCATTTCTTTAGTTTGTAAACAACAACAGTAACTCAGAGTAAGATTCAGAATCTGTATACAATATTAATTAATTACTATTAATTAATTAATCCTTTAATCATCACGCTGTAACCTGTGACAGGCTGTTATGCCACCATTAACTATCACACACTCACATATATGTAGTTTTTTGTTGAGCTGCAAGTGTCACATAGGTTTACACTGCAAAAGGTTTATGAGAAAATCACTTGACTACATGGACTCCTGTGAGCAAATGGCAAGAGAGGAGAAGGAGAGAGACTGCGCTGCTGCCGGGCAGAGTCGCTAAATGAGCTCCCTCTGCAGGAAGGGTAACTTGTGGTGACTCGCTAAAAGAGTCTGAGAAGTCTGGGACTGTTTATAAAACATTCAGGATGCCCAGGCCTAACACTACAACATTTTATTCCACACTATTGTTCACGAGTGAGGGTAGGATGGAGCGGGAGATTGACAGTCTGTTTGTGGCGGCGTCAGCAGTGATGCAGACGCTTAACCGGTCCGTTGTGGTGAAAAGGGAGCTTAGCCAGAAAGCGAAGCTCTCGATTTACCGGTCGATCTACGTTCCAACCCTCACCTATGGTCATGAGCTCTGGGTAGTGACCGAAAGAACGAGATCACGAGTACAAGCGGCCGAAATGAGTTTCCTCTGCAGGGTGGCTGGGCTCAGCCTTAGAGATAGGGTGAGGAGCTCGGACATCCGGGAGGGATTCGGAGTAGAGCCGCTGCTCCTCCACATCCAGAGGAGCCAGTTGAGATGGTTCAGGCATCTGGTAAGGATGCCTCCCGGACGCCTCCCTTGGGAGGTATTTTGGGCATGTCCAACCGGGAGGAGACCTCGGGGCCGACCCAGGACACGCTGGAGGGATTACATCGCCCGGCTGGCCTGGGAACGCCTCGGGGTTCCCTCGGAAGAGCTGACGGAGGTGGCTGGGGAGAGGACTGTCTGGGCTTCTTTGCTGAGGCTGCTGCCCCCGCGACCCGGACCCGGATAAGCGGAGGATGACGAGACAAGACTATTGAAGCTGCTCCTCTTTTTGGAACCACCGCAGAGTAGCTAATAATTTCGTTTTAAGCCATGTTTATTGTTGCCATGGGTAACAGTATGACGTCACTGTCAACAAGTCTAAATATTGCGAGTATCATGATATGAATTTTTCATATGATATCAAAAATCATACCGGTATTATTGTGAACTAGATGTTATGGCACACCCCTAGTCTGCGGCCTGTGGTAGCTTAAACCTTACCAGTCTGGTCTCAAGAGAGGAGTCAGATAAAAGTCAGCACACTGGCCCTCTAAGCTTGGGGGTTGGGCGCGGCGCTGATAATGCCACCCGATCAAAAACTACACTGAGCAAAACTATTGACATCAGGCACATAACAGACCCCAGCCACCAAAATGGTGGCAGGATGACCACTCCGGATGAAAGCTGAAAGAAAATCAGGAGTGAGAAAGAGGGTCTACTAAGGCCAATATTCAAGATCTGCCTTAGAACATGGAATGTCCGAACCATGTAAGAGACCACCAAGACAGCAGCACAAGTCCTCAGTAAGATGAAGAGATACTATCTGGACATCCTGAGGATAACTGAAAGTCACTAGACTGGCTTCAGACGCCAAATGCTACATGATGGATCTGTCATCCTCCATTCAGGCCATGAGAATACTCACACACACACACACAGCATAGCTGTCATAATCAAAGGAGAAAGCCAAAACCCTGCTTGAATGGGAACCAGCAAGTGAGAAGTTGATCAGAGTGTACCTCAACTCAAAGTTCTGCAAACTCACCATCTTGCAGTGATATGCACCAACTAATGAGGCTGAAGAAGAGAACAAAGAGGTTTGGTATGTACAACACAACATGCTACTGGTAACTCATGACATGAATGCCAAAGTGGGAACCAAAAATTCCAACTATGAGAGGGTAATGGGCACACACAGACAGGGATGGATTGGCCATCAGGAGTACTGGGAGAATTCCTGGGGGGCCGCTCTAGTGTGGGCTGGTAGTAAGCGGTTTTTTTTTCTTTTTAAAAAAAAATATTTGGTTTTTGGCTGATCAGCCCACAGAGCAGAGAGATGATGGGCCCACTGGTTTGTCTCCCACGGCCCACCCCCATCCTGCAACCGCTAGTCTTCAACAGGTGTGCCATCAGGACAGTAATGATGGAGGAGAGGAACAGAGTGAGGCCAGAGATCCCACTGAGACAGAGGGACAGGACAGCAGGGAACAGGAGGAGGCTCACAGTGTAGGAGAGGGAGGCATGATCTTTATAAGAAAGTAGGATGGTCCTCTCTCAGTGTAAGGAGGGCCCAACATCGCATATTGTTAGTATATAAGTCTATCTGCACTCTACTCTAATACCACTCAGCTAAGTAGTGGTATTTGGGGCTGGTATGTTCATGTATTGAAGGGGAGAACAAGGATGGGTGATGTCCAGCCGATTGTGGTGGGCTGGTCTGGGCAAAAGTCCAGGGCTGATTTTATATCTCAGTCCAGCCCTGCACACAGATGTGGAGAGAGAAACAACAGTGGTGAACGCCTTGTTGGATTCTGCATGAATAACAACCTGGTCATTGGTGGAACCATCTTTCCACATAAGAAAATCCACAAGCTCATATGGAAGTCACCTGATGGTAGGATCATCAACCAAACAGATCACATTATCATTAATGGTAAGTGGTGTAGCATACTGGGGTGCAGATGCCTACAGCAACCACTACCTAACCGTTGCCACCATCAAACTCAAGTTTAAGCAGCTGATCCCACAAGGCCAGCGACAGAAAAAAACTGGACATTGCTAAACTCCAGTATCCAAAGGAAAACCAAGAGTTTGTGTTGGAACTTAGAAACCACTTTAGCATACTAGATGCTGCCTCTGAAATGGAAGAAGAACCCACTATAAACAGCAGAGATGGGACCAAGTCACACATGTGCAAGTCTCAAGTAAGTCTCAAGTCTTAACCTTCAAATCTCAAGTAAGTCCCAAATCATTTTTTCTTGGGCAAGTCAAGTCAAGTCAAGTCACAGGTTATGTCAAGTCAAGTCAAGTCAAGTCAAGTCCTGTAATAGGTCAAGTCAAGTCCAAGTCAAGTCACCTTATTATTGTCATTTTACCTGCAGAATCTGATCTTAGCTCAACTGCATATGCTGGTTTTAACTAAAAGTTACTTCATTAACATATTTATTCCATTTTAAATTATATTTACTTACTTTGCTAAGTTTTAAACCCATATGTATGTCATGATCTGTTTTTAAGCAATATCTACTTTGTTTACTAGTGTTTTAGCATGTAGTTACTTGGGTTACTCAGTTTTAACCAAATTTTAGGCGACTTCATCGCTGCAATGTTTACTTTGCAGGGACGACCCCCATGGGCGCGCACACACACACACACACACACACACACACACACTAACCAACGCAGCGGCCAAACTCACCCATTTAGCTCATTTAACCCTGTGTTGCTCGTTCATAAAACGTACAGCCGGTCTTGTGATGAACCGGTTGGAATGTTCGCTCACATTTTCTGGGGTTAATGTTAGCAAATAAATTAGAAAACAAAGATGATGACCCTCGGTACCCCTCCCGCTGACATGTTGATGCCTATCTAGTCTCGCTCACCAGACCTTTCTTTGGGCCGACTCTCACTTTAAGATTGGAGAAAAAAACGCCCCGGCTGCTTGTATTTCTTTCAACCAATCACAATCGTTCTTGGCGGTGCCACAGCAACGGTGCGCTTGCAAAAATATTGCCGGGGGGAAACAGGTTTTGGTGTAACACACCCACAAAAATATTGCCTACAGGACGCAAACCATGGCAGAAAAATGGCTACATCCCCGCAAGATCAAACACCGCAAAAGCTTCAGCGGGTGGCTCATTCCGCCCAATGAGAGGCTGAGCTTTGCAGCGAACTTCCACCCACTCAGACTAATGCCTATCTGATATAAGAGGGCGTGTTTCTCCAATAAACACGTAAGGTACGAAGAGAGGGCATGACTGATTGACAGGGTAGTGATCCATTCATGACAACGCCATTTTCAGCCTGCGCTCCTACTGGGTAATCGACTTTTTTTTAAAATTAAATTAAATTAAATTAATTTATTAATTTTGAGTCATCGTGTCTCAAGTCAAGTCCCGAGTCTTTAACTTCCAAGTCCGAGTCAAGTCTCAAGTCTTTTATTTTTTGTCAAGTCAAGTCACGAGTCATCAAAACAGTGACTCGAGTCGACTCGAGTCCAAGTCACAATGACTCGAGTCCCCATCTCTGATAAACAGTAAATGGAATGCTATCAAGACTATATACTCTGAAACAGCATGAAGTCCTGGGCTTCAAACAAAAAGGGGCCAAAGAATGGATATCAGCTAACACTCAGCAGAAAATCAAAGAGAGGTAACAGCTAAAGACAAAGATGCTGAACACCAAGTCTCAACGTCTCCTTGAAAAAGCCAAGATGCCCTATAAAAACAAGGACAGAGAGGTGAAGAGGAGTGCCAGAAGAGACAAGAGGGTCTTTGTTGAAAACCTTGCCATGAAGCTGAGAAGGCTGTAGCCTATGGGAATCTGAGCACTATGTATAAGATCACAAAGCAACTCTGTGGCAAATGTACAAGCCAAACTAATCACGTTGAGAACAAAAATGGCATCATCTTTGCCAAAAGAAAACCTGGAATGCCCCAAACCACGTGGTGCAGAACTGTGACACTGGAGTTGGAAAAGATGAACCTGTCAAGGGGAGAGGAGCAACATGCTGCCAAGGATCAAATGCAATGGAAAGTGCTCAATTAAGCCTTATGTACCATAGGGGATGAAGAGGAGTAGGTAAGTAAGTGAAGTGCAACCTTTAAAGGGGTGTGTGGTGTTGGATACTATGATCTAGGACTTCTCATATTTTACACAACATTAGGGGAAGAGTGATACTGACCCAGGGGAGGCAGTAACCTCTGTAAGGCATTCTTGTTCCTCAGTTTGGCAATATGGAGGACGTAGTAGAGACCCATTTCACAGGCCACTCTGTTCTCCTGCAGGTACCTGAGAAAGAGAAACAAAGACCATCACAATCACAATACTTCTCACTAACACATTTTTCCTATCACATCAGTCATTACAGATAAGGACAAACATCCTGAATTGAATGAGCATTACAAGAGTGCCTTGAATTCCCTGTTTGTAGTTGTTTTTGTTCCAGCTGCACATCTCACGAGCTTTGGGCTGTCTTACAGTTATGCTGTGAGTCCTCTCACAGTTGTCCTATCTGGCTGCATGTAAAGTTAGTAACACAGTCAATTACATTTAACACCAACACATTAAGAACACTGGGCCTCATTCACTAATATGTGTGTAGAAATGTTTTTACTTTGCACACAAACACAAACTCCAATGTCCTTAAACAAGTACGTTCTAATAAAAAGCGTCATAGCTTGTCACTTTTGCTAAAAATGGTCAAATCTGTATGCCATATCAAATTACAAACTTAATTAAGCATAAATAACTTTCAACCATAAAATGTGATCAGGTTTAGTACCTTGTCCACTTTTGTAAGGCTTGGATGTAGACAGACTTGGCAGAGATGGCTGCCACCTTGTTTTTACATGGATTGCGGTTATGTTGTGCTCTTGCTACCAGTAGATGGCACATGAAAATGTCCATGAATGAGGACAGCAGGTCTAAGTTAAGCAGAATGAATTTCAAGGTGCAGCAAACCCAAAATGTAAGATCCTCACAGAGAACCAAGGGTCGCAGACAGTTAAATCAGATATAAGCATTACTGTTACAACATTGTGTCACCCATTACAATATTGTGTCACCTTACTGAATTTAATCTAATTTCCTGTTGACACTGTGGCGATCTATCCCGTCTGAATGACACCAGTGTAAGATGTCGAGGTTAAGCCTGTTAACGTGCTAACCCACTTTTCTCACCTCTTCACACAGGTCCTAGCAAGGTAAACTCTGAAATGCTGCTATGGACAAAAAACCTTTCTATGAAGTGATGCTATATGATGTCACCCTCTGTCCTGTGTGCAGTGCTTCACCTGTTGAAGGTATCAGGCAGTGTGGTGGGGTATGTTAATGAACTCTTCTCTTCACTGGGAAGCTTCTGTTCTACAGTGAAGGTGTGATCATCAACAACCACTGACATCATGGCAGGCAAGAAGCGGGTCACCACCTCCAAATCCTGATAGTAGGTACACAGGAAGACAACGTTAACAACTTACAGTCCATTTATTTCAATGCAGTGACCTTCAACTAGCCTATAACCAACAGCGTGAAAAACAAATAAGCTATTTACCAACAGTTTGTTTTAGCCTTGGTGTGATTTTATGAACTGACACAAAGATACACCTGAGCTGTACACTGTACGTACCAAACGAGGCTCTTTGAACACCTGGCTGTCAATCATGTCCCACGCCCCCTGACCCAGTGACAGCATCCTCAGCAGCAGCATCAGGTCTGGACTATCCTGTTCACAAACACACATGCAACTTGACCTTTTGTTGATTAAATAGGCTGTGTATGAGGGAAAACACAGTGAAAACACATTTACTTGAGGGGGAGTCTTTTAGACCCAGCACCAACACAGAAGGAAATATGCAAATTGAAAATAAATAATTGCATAAAAAATGAGTCTGATGGCTCACAGAGACAAGACTACAATACAGCTGCTTTAAAGGTCTTGTGTTTAAGATTTGGTGGCATCTAGTGGTGAAGTTGCAGATTGCAACAAACTAAAACTTGTCCAGTGTGCCAAGCGGTGGCTGACGTGAAAATACAATTGGCCCCATCCAGAGCCAGTGCTTAGTTTGTCCCTTTTGGGCCATTGTAGAAACAAAATGGTGGATTCAGTGGAAGAGGACCTGCTCTGTATGTAGTACAAACGGCTCATTCTAAGGTAATGATAATGATTCTTATTTTCAGGTGATTATAGACTAATAAAAACATAGTTAAAATTACATATTACATTTCTGCCAATATATCCACCTATATCCTACACACTGGACCTTAAATGGAAAGCAACACTGAAATATTCTAACTGTGGTTGGACTTAATTGGTGAGTGAGATTGTTTTATACAAACCAGTGATCAGTTTCTGCCGTGTTGCCATTGGTTTTAAGTATGTAAGCAAACATTCAGCTCAATCTCAGCTAAAAGTTGCAACTGATAATTCATAATTAATCCTTTTTTGAGTCTTATGTTACATTTATGATATAAAGTAGGGATGGGCGATACAGACAAAAAATTCATATCTCAGTATTTTTAGGCTGAATGGTAATACACGATATGTATCTTGGCATCTTCTATAAAATTGGCTACATGTTCAGTTACAAGTCAAAGCCACATTTGAGATGTCACAAGCACTTTCATAAAAACAGACTGATCAGAATAAAATAGCGGAAAATAAAAGCTTGAACAGCTTACTAAATGCAAAGGGGACTGATTCTCATCCTCATACATGTCTAAAAGTAAAAGGACGGCAGTGAGAAAACTCCATGGTGCAGCAATGAAAACAGCTAGCAAAGAGGCGACGCTATTAGCCATGTCTGCCCAGGAAGAAAGTGCAGAACGGGAGTACAGCTCCGCCGAAATAATGGCTGCTATCAACAAGGGAAACAAGGCGATAACTAGCAAGATTGAGGACCTAAACTTGACCCTAAAAGCTTTACAACAGAAAAGTTCACTTATTGAGAAGAAACAAGAAGACCTGGAAGGCGGCCTTAACAGGCTCGACGGCGATGTGGATAGCATGTCCAGGCGCCTCTCTCAAATGGAGCAAATGGTACAGGAGTTGAGAGTAAAGCTAAATGACATGGAAAACCGCTCCAGGAGATGCAGTCTCTGCTTGACGGGGCTACCAGAAGGGTTTGAAGGAAGTGCACCCACCAAATTTGTGGAGAAACTACTGCTTAACATCCTGGGAGCTTTACTAACGGAGTGGAGCTGCAGTGCGCCCACAGGACACTCGCCCTGAGACCGAAGCCAGGCCAGCCGCCACGGGCGTTAATAATGCAGTTCCTCTGTTACCAGGATAAGGAGCGGGCCTTGACGTCCGTGCGACAGCAAGGCATGCTGCGACATGAAAACAACATCATGCGACTCTACTCGGATTATTCATTTGAGCTTCAACAGAAAAGGCGAAGATCTGACGAGACGAAGAAAATCCTGCGGGAGAAAAGAGTTGAATACCGGCTGGTTTATCCTGCTCGTCTGATACTGAAACATGCTGGTAAAGATCTAAGCTACTGTAGTGTAATGTACTGATTTACTGAAGACATATACTGTACCTTTTNCAAAAGAAAACCTGGAAGGCCCCAAACCACGTGGTGCAGAACTGTGACACTGGAGTTGGAAAAGATGAACCTGTCAAGGGGAGAGGAGCAACATGCTGCCAAGGATCAAATGCAATGGAAAGTGCTCAATTAAGCCTTATGTACCATAGGGGATGAAGAGGAGTAGGTAAGTAAGTGAAGTGCAACCTTTAAAGGGGTGTGTGGTGTTGGATACTATGATCTAGGACTTCTCATATTTTACACAACATTAGGGGAAGAGTGATACTGACCCAGGGGAGGCAGTAACCTCTGTAAGGCATTCTTGTTCCTCAGTTTGGCAATATGGAGGACGTAGTAGAGACCCATTTCACAGGCCACTCTGTTCTCCTGCAGGTACCTGAGAAAGAGAAACAAAGACCATCACAATCACAATACTTCTCACTAACACATTTTTCCTATCACATCAGTCATTACAGATAAGGACAAACATCCTGAATTGAATGAGCATTACAAGAGTGCCTTGAATTCCCTGTTTGTAGTTGTTTTTGTTCCAGCTGCACATCTCACGAGCTTTGGGCTGTCTTACAGTTATGCTGTGAGTCCTCTCACAGTTGTCCTATCTGGCTGCATGTAAAGTTAGTAACACAGTCAATTACATTTAACACCAACACATTAAGAACACTGGGCCTCATTCACTAATATGTGTGTAGAAATGTTTTTACTTTGCACACAAACACAAACTCCAATGTCCTTAAACAAGTACGTTCTAATAAAAAGCGTCATAGCTTGTCACTTTTGCTAAAAATGGTCAAATCTGTATGCCATATCAAATTACAAACTTAATTAAGCATAAATAACTTTCAACCATAAAATGTGATCAGGTTTAGTACCTTGTCCACTTTTGTAAGGCTTGGATGTAGACAGACTTGGCAGAGATGGCTGCCACCTTGTTTTTACATGGATTGCGGTTATGTTGTGCTCTTGCTACCAGTAGATGGCACATGAAAATGTCCATGAATGAGGACAGCAGGTCTAAGTTAAGCAGAATGAATTTCAAGGTGCAGCAAACCCAAAATGTAAGATCCTCACAGAGAACCAAGGGTCGCAGACAGTTAAATCAGATATAAGCATTACTGTTACAACATTGTGTCACCCATTACAATATTGTGTCACCTTACTGAATATAATCTAATTTCCTGTTGACACTGTGGCGATCTATCCCGTCTGAATGACACCAGTGTAAGATGTCGAGGTTAAGCCTGTTAACGTGCTAACCCACTTTTCTCACCTCTTCACACAGGTCCTAGCAAGGTAAACTCTGAAATGCTGCTATGGACAAAAAACCTTTCTATGAAGTGATGCTATATGATGTCACCCTCTGTCCTGTGTGCAGTGCTTCACCTGTTGAAGGTATCAGGCAGTGTGGTGGGGTATGTTAATGAACTCTTCTCTTCACTGGGAAGCTTCTGTTCTACAGTGAAGGTGTGATCATCAACAACCACTGACATCATGGCAGGCAAGAAGCGGGTCACCACCTCCAAATCCTGATAGTAGGTACACAGGAAGACAACGTTAACAACTTACAGTCCATTTATTTCAATGCAGTGACCTTCAACTAGCCTATAACCAACAGCGTGAAAAACAAATAAGCTATTTACCAACAGTTTGTTTTAGCCTTGGTGTGATTTTATGAACTGACACAAAGATACACCTGAGCTGTACACTGTACGTACCAAACGAGGCTCTTTGAACACCTGGCTGTCAATCATGTCCCACGCCCCCTGACCCAGTGACAGCATCCTCAGCAGCAGCATCAGGTCTGGACTATCCTGTTCACAAACACACATGCAACTTGACCTTTTGTTGATTAAATAGGCTGTGTATGAGGGAAAACACAGTGAAAACACATTTACTTGAGGGGGAGTCTTTTAGACCCAGCACCAACACAGAAGGAAATATGCAAATTGAAAATAAATAATTGCATAAAAAATGAGTCTGATGGCTCACAGAGACAAGACTACAATACAGCTGCTTTAAAGGTCTTGTGTTTAAGATTTGGTGGCATCTAGTGGTGAAGTTGCAGATTGCAACAAACTAAAACTTGTCCAGTGTGCCAAGCGGTGGCTGACGTGAAAATACAATTGGCCCCATCCAGAGCCAGTGCTTAGTTTGTCCCTTTTGGGCCATTGTAGAAACAAAATGGTGGATTCAGTGGAAGAGGACCTGCTCTGTATGTAGTACAAACGGCTCATTCTAAGGTAATGATAATGATTCTTATTTTCAGGTGATTATAGACTAATAAAAACATAGTTAAAATTACATATTACATTTCTGCCAATATATCCACCTATATCCTACACACTGGACCTTAAATGGAAAGCAACACTGAAATATTCTAACTGTGGTTGGACTTAATTGGTGAGTGAGATTGTTTTATACAAACCAGTGATCAGTTTCTGCCGTGTTGCCATTGGTTTTAAGTATGTAAGCAAACATTCAGCTCAATCTCAGCTAAAAGTTGCAACTGATAATTCATAATTAATCCTTTTTTGAGTCTTATGTTACATTTATGATATAAAGTAGGGATGGGCGATACAGACAAAAAATTCATATCTCAGTATTTTTAGGCTGAATGGTAATACACGATATGTATCTTGGCATCTTCTATAAAATTGGCTACATGTTCAGTTACAAGTCAAAGCCACATTTGAGATGTCACAAGCACTTTCATAAAAACAGACTGATCAGAATAAAATGTAGAGCTGGGGATATTTTTTCCCTGTTTGAAAATGTACAGCTGCACAACATGTAAGAGAAAAATTATATAAAATATATAGCAGGGCTGTACCTTAACTTTTTGCACATAGCACTGGAGCTGCAGAAGTTTAAGGGTTTGCAGCACAGGCCACAAAACTATAACATGAGTAAAAAAGTGTCAAGTAGGCCTAAATCCCTTGTAGTTTTGGGGGGGGGGGGGGGGGGGGGGGGGGGGTGGCGGTGGTGTTTAAAAAGTCGTTTTCCACAGCCTTTCAAATGAAACTAGTGCTGGGAAATCATTTAAATCTTTTCATTTATTTAGGCTATTAATCGTATTAATGCACATAGCATCAACAGAGAGGCTGAGGGAGGAAAGGAGCAAGAGACTGTTCTCATTATATAGGTCTTGTATATGAAATGTCTGTGTTGTCGCTGCATTTTTTCAAACACATCTGTCACCTGCAGGCTGTCTCAATGTCACACTACAACTACCAAGAGGAACGGCAATGCGCTATGATCCATTTCACACACAAATTAGCAAACAAACACTCACCTGACACAATCAAGCAGCTCTGTCTCCCACACATGCAGCACAGTGCTGTACTGCGCATTTGTTACTGCGGTCATTTCATTCATCTCACAGACTGATTTAGTGCAACACGTGCAACATATAGACTGATGTCACACTCGAGACTAATTCACAGACAGGTTAAACAGAATAGCAGTGTGTGTCTGTGTCTCTCTTAGTGTTGCTGGAGAACTTGTGAGTGAGTGAGTGAGTGGGGCGGAGCAGTGCGAAGAGTGTGAGAGGAGAGATGCACACCGGTATTGCTTTTCCGAAGATCAGTGTTATGTAACGCAACAGTTTGCATACTGGGTAGGTGTGGAGGATGCCATCCTCTACCTGCTACAACGAGCCCACTCGCACCTGGATAAGGGAAGCAGCATGGTGAGGATTCTCTTCCTGGACTTCTCAAGTGCCTTTAACACCATCCAGCCCCTTGTGCTTCAGGACAAACTTAACAGGATGAGAGTGGACCCCTGCCTGGTCACTTGGATCTCCAGCTACCTCACCGACAGGCCGCAGTACGTCAGGCTGAGGGACACCACGTCTGCCACTGTCATCAGCAGCACCGGAGCACCCCAGGGCACGGTGCTGGCACCTCTTCTCTTCACCCTGTACACCTCAGACTTCTGCTACAACTCATGTCACATAGTACAGTACAGGAGCCTAGTGAGGGACTTTGCTGTCTGGTGCCACACAAACCATCTACAGCTCAACACCTCGAAGACCAAGGAGCTGGTCATTGACTTTGGGAAGTCCAGACCAAGACCGCGACCAGTTCTGATCGAGGGAGTTGAGGTGGAGGCTGTGGATTCCTACAGGTACATCGGGCTGTGGCTGGACAGCAAACTGGACTGGACAACCCACACCAACCACCTGTACAGGAAGAGACAGAACAGGCTGTACTTCCTGAGGAGGCTGCGGTCGTTTAACATCTGCAGGAAACTCCTGCGGATGTTTTACCAGTCCGTGATAGCCAGCGTCCTCTTTTACACCGTGGTGTGCTGGGGGGGCAGCACATCCAAGAAGGACACATCCAGGCTGGACAAACTGATCGGGCGGGCTGGCTCTGTGGTTGGCATGAAGCTAGACTCTCTGGTGACGGTGGCAGAGAAGAGAATACTGGACAAACTGCTGGACATTATGGACGATGCCAGTCGCCCTCTGCACACCGTCATCAGCAACCAGAGGAGCCTGTTCAGCCAAAGACTGCTCCTTCCCAAGTGTAGGACTAACAGACTGAAAAACTCCTTTGTCCCTCAGGCCATCAGACTGTACAACTCTTCCCAAGGGATTAATACAGTTCTATCTAATCTAATCTAATCTCTAATCTAATAATAATAATAATGATAATAATAATTATAATAAACATTATTTGTACAGCACTTTACACAACACATTCACAAAGGGCTTTATAAGACAAATAAAATAGTATACACCATCAAGATAAAAACAGCAACGGTCACGTGATGGCAAGCTAGAGAACAGACACAGAAACGTCAGCTCCGTATCTATTGATTAAATAAATGATTTTTACGTACTGATAGCGGAAAATAAAAGCTTGAACAGCTTACTAAATGCAAAGGGGACTGATTCTCATCCTCATACATGTCTAAAAGTAAAAGGACGGCAGTGAGAAAACTCCATGGTGCAGCAATGAAAACAGCTAGCAAAGAGGCGACGCTATTAGCCATGTCTGCCCAGGAAGAAAGTGCAGAACGGGAGTACAGCTCCGCCGAAATAATGGCTGCTATCAACAAGGGAAACAAGGCGATAACTAGCAAGATTGAGGACCTAAACTTGACCCTAAAAGCTTTACAACAGAAAAGTTCACTTATTGAGAAGAAACAAGAAGACCTGGAAGGCGGCCTTAACAGGCTCGACGGCGATGTGGATAGCATGTCCAGGCGCCTCTCTCAAATGGAGCAAATGGTACAGGAGTTGAGAGTAAAGCTAAATGACATGGAAAACCGCTCCAGGAGATGCAGTCTCTGCTTGACGGGGCTACCAGAAGGGTTTGAAGGAAGTGCACCCACCAAATTTGTGGAGAAACTACTGCTTAACATCCTGGGAGCTTTACTAACGGAGTGGAGCTGCAGTGCGCCCACAGGACACTCGCCCTGAGACCGAAGCCAGGCCAGCCGCCACGGGCGTTAATAATGCAGTTCCTCTGTTACCAGGATAAGGAGCGGGCCTTGACGTCCGTGCGACAGCAAGGCATGCTGCGACATGAAAACAACATCATGCGACTCTACTCGGATTATTCATTTGAGCTTCAACAGAAAAGGCGAAGATCTGACGAGACGAAGAAAATCCTGCGGGAGAAAAGAGTTGAATACCGGCTGGTTTATCCTGCTCGTCTGATACTGAAACATGCTGGTAAAGATCTAAGCTACTGTAGTGTAATGTACTGATTTACTGAAGACATATACTGTACCTTTTAGCTGACCTTTAAAAGATATGTGTTGAAGCAATATAATCTGTGCAACTGACAAATTACACACTGGTTTAATATTTCATGTATTCTTATGACACACACACACACTTATTGAGCACTTAAGCATTGTGGTGGAGAAGTACCTAGGACTCACTGTGAATTATTTCTAAAAATAGCATGAGGATGGGTTCAGAAAACACTAGTGGAAAATTAGGGGAATTACAGCTTGTCCTGAGAATGACCCTAG